GCTCCAAGTCCATCGGATCGGGCTCATCCACCTCGTACTCTACGGGTACCCCGTCAGAGCTCGCACTCTCCTCAGCTGAAGAACCAGGATCAGCCACCTCTCCATCAGGGCACTGGGGGTACCTCGTGCCCAGCCCGGTAAACGGGACATCAAAAGTTCGGAGATGACCATACTCTCCGAGACGATCCCTGAAGCACCAAGCTACATATTCATGGGTCTGGTAATACGTTTCCCCCACATCCACCCATACTAAAATATAATGCCTAATATACGACTCCCCGTTCCCTACGGGGTGTACCATCCTCGTTCGCTCTATCTGATGCGGAATCCCAAAACGTACCGGAACTTCAGGCATCCTCAGGATCGGGGGTCTGAAAGGTGGGGTTTAAACAACAGTGAGAATAAATCTCAGTGAGTAGGCTTCCTAAACCTAAACTAGGCTAACATGCACCTCCTGACGAGCATTAAACGACACACAATTCAAAACATAAATTACTCAGGCCCTCGGGCCCAGGTTCAATACTTACTTTGCCCTGCAGGTTAGACAATTACAAATCATAATAATAACACAGAACCCACTCATGGCACATACATGACATCACTTGGTCACAACGCATATCATGCATATGCTATGCTCATGCTCACACTCGTGCTCATGCTCACAATGCACTTTCGCACACTTGCACTCTTGCACACTTGCCATTTACCCATTTCTCCTTCGACCCGCGTAAAACGCATCAGGTCCATTACTTTGAGATCGATCTCCGGCCCGCATAAAACGCATCAGGCTGGTCATCTTCCGGTAGTCCCGGGCATCGTCCCGCGTAACATGCATCAGGACGAGTTCAATACCCCGCGTAAAACGCATCAGGGCTTTATGTGATCACACATTCACAATCACCAATTATTAGCTGAACCCCGCGTAAAACGCATCAGGGCATTTTAGGTGATCACATACTAATGTCATTCATGCATACTCGCATATGCACATGTTATGTCAATATTCGAGATGCACACTCATGGCCATAACGTTCACACTTGGGCATTCAAGAATTTCACAATGAGCAATCAACATAATTCGGCTATTTATTCCATACAACGCCCCAACATGCTCAATCCACATTTCAATATGCCCAACCAACATAATAGCACGTCCACTAAGCAATTCAAAACACCCTTGCATGGCACAAAATCTACGCATATAAATCGCGCAATTGGATCAACATGAATTCGCGCACTCAAGACCCATCAAGCTACTCCATTCTTAGTCACACTAGGCACACGACACGGCGTCACAAAATAATCACAACCGAAGACAATTCAGACACCTAAACCGCCAATCTAAACATTCCCGGTAATTACACAATTAAACCTCAAATTGATCGCGCCTTGTCCAATTCAATCCCGATATGGACAGCCACCAAACGGGTCACTCTAGGCCAATAAATATCCTCAAAATACTCCATTAAGTTCCCCAAAACATCACCCAAATCAGCCACCATGAGGGCCATACTAGGCGCGCACAATATTGCACAATTGAACCCAAACTTAACCCAAATTTGGGCCGATTCAATCCAACCTTTCCAGTCCTCACCCGGCACATTCTAAGCCGCTAAACCTCAATTAAATCATCACTCTCGGTCACCAAATGCGCCACAAAATCAGCCCCTAACAGCCTCCACAAGCTAACCCCCAAATTATCCTAATTAACCCCTAAAACTCATCTAGAAACACACATTGGCCTAATTAGGGTTTAGGGTTGTACTCACTTAGATTTCTATGCTTCTAACAAGGCTGGACAGAAGGCGAGGGCAGCTGAGCAGTGGCGGCGAGCGGCGGTTCCCGGCGGCGCTAACGGCGGCGGCGCGCGGCTCCCCGACGGATGGCGATCCAATGCGGCGAAGGGGAGGGGGATGCTGGCCGCGGCGGACGGGAGAGAGAGGGGAGTGGGACGGCTGGATGGTGCTAGGCGAGGTGGTGGTGGTGGCGGCGAATCGGCTCCGGCGGCGGCGGAGCTCCTCCGGCGAGCTTGGCCTTTCACGGCCAAATGAAGAGGAAAATGGAAGAGAGGAGTTGGCGTGGGAGGAGGGGCTGGCCGGCTGATGATGGGAGGAAATGGGAAGAGAGAGAGTCAAAGGGGAGTGTATAGGCTTGAGTGAGAAAGTGGGGTGGTTGACCAACCATGCAACAATGACAATCTTACCCCTAATTCAAGGGCTAGGATCAATTCTAATAAAAATATCTAGGGGCATTATGGACTACAAATTTCAGCATTATTGGGCTGAAACATGCCATTATAAAACCCTAAAATATTCCCCAAATTACCCCAAAATTCGGAATACTAGACTTGGGCACAAGGGCAAAATGGTAATTTTCCGGTCCCGGGTCAAATTTCCAATTTTCAACTCTCTTGATCCCAAATATGAGTGGCCACATAAAAATGATGTCGTCCTTGCAAAATAGTCGCGCACGCCCGCGAAATTCGACACCGAAGTCCGGACTCAATTCCACGATCGATTTAGCTCAATTTGCAGTTTTAGTGTCTCTCACTAACGGGCGGCTGTTTAGGGGTTACACGTATCGACCTAGGGTTCCTCGAGTCGTGATGTTATCAATTTCCCAGAGCACACGAGGATTTATCGCTAGCCCCAGGGGTCGCGGTCGTCCGGAACAAGTTCGGGATCGTCCGCCGCGCGTACTCTCGGTCGTGCGGAACCACCCGCTATCCTATCGTACGTCGTCGTCGAACCAAATCCGTCACTCTCCTTGGACCGGCCCACATCGGCACAAAATATTTTCTCGTCGTATCTCGGAATCGGACTCAATTCACGGTCGAGTTCTTGGGTCTACGTACCGCTTTCCTAGTTAGTCTTTCCCTACTGGTCAGTATCCCGAGAATGATCAGTTCCGGGCGAGACTCACTAAAACGAAATGAGAAATAATCATCTATTTTATTAATCCCAGAAGTGGGCGAATTGAGGACGTTACATTAGGATTTTTCATGGTATTAACTCATTTATCAATCAAGGATGAAAAAATCTGAAGATGTCAATCAAATCACAAACATATTCTTGGAGATGTTAAAATTAAGGGATCGTTAGCTCTTCTAATATAAATAAACGTTTCATTTGTTATTTTATATTGTTACCATGCTTCTTTATGAAGTGTAACACTTTGTAATGTCTTTGTATTTGGAAATCATCTTAACAATGATACATTGAGATCAAATAACAAACACCTTTGTTTTTATTTAACTTCCAATTCAGAAAGTTGTGATTCACCTGCTACAAGAAAAGCAAGAGACATTAAAAAAAAAGAAAAAGACAAAGAAAAATTAGTAAAGACGAGAATTTGATGGATGGGATAGAGGGTTAATTTTGCTTTAGATAATTTCTAAGAAAAAACTAGAACGATGCCAATCTTTTGCTTTAGCTCATTTAACTAAAGTCGAAGAGAGCAAAACTCAAGAAACCCGTGAAGCATCTCACGAAGCCCTTCGAAACGGCTAGACAATGACAAGAAATTTTAAACAACACAAAGTTGTAATTCCCGAGGAAGCTCACATGATGAACGAGATTTTTGGATCTCGAAACGATTAGGGAAAGACTTTTAAGTGGCTTCTATTCTTATGCTCACCTACTTTTATATGCAATTAAAGGCCCACAAAGCTTCCATTCTCACGACCTGGAGCTTCGTTCTTGTCTGGTTTGGGACATGATCCACTACGCACTACGACCTGAGCTGGCTTTGAAAGTGCGACATGCCAGAAATGAATTCAAAGGCAAGTAGCAGAAGAGTTGTATGAAGCAATTAATACTTTATTAATCTTTTTGTCATCCCTGAGGAAACCAGTTTTTCTAGGTATCTCTAAAAAAGGTGAATTCCAACTTCAAAGTGAAAGATGAACTCGAGGAGACACACGAATTTGCACTTTGTCCGAACCCCCTGAAACGTATGTACATATCATCCCCAGATTGTAATAATAGGAGTGTCACTACCATATCGGGTTGATAGATAAGAGTTCAAGATTTGCATCTCAAGTTGCATTTTCTCCAAACTCACTCATCGGTCAGGCTTTGTTTTTAATAGCTCAGAAAGTTGAAAAAGGAGGTGGAAAAAGAAAAAAAGTACCACCAGCAATTTTAGGGTCTCCACAAATCAATAATATATTATCCTTGGAAGTTCTAGAGATTATTAAATTTGACATACCATAACGTAGATCGAATAGAAAAGGGTTTGCAATTTAATAAATGGAGCCAAAATGACACCCAACTGAATGGTTTCATTGTTGACTTCACTTGAGGCAGCACGGAGAGGAAATGCAAGTCCATGGAAAAAGTATAAAGGAAATCCCATTAATGCCCGTCTCTCTCTCTCTCTCTCTCTCTCTCTCTCTCTCTCTCTCTCTCTCTCTCTATGGAAAAAGTATTAAGGAAATCCCATTAATGCCTCTCTCTCTCTCTCTCTCTCTCTCTCTCTCTCTCTCTCTCTCTCTCTGACTTTGATTCTTTCTGCCTTCATCTGTGAGTTTGAGTAGGTCAAACAAGGGAAATTTGCAAAAGAATAAGCAAGGAAACATTTGGGCTAGAGCCTCAACAGATCTCTCTCTAAGAAAAACTATGCTATCATTTCCTTTTCTCATTCACTGTGTACTCTTCCAGCCTCTTTTCTTCTGTTTTTTCAGCCCAAAGCGCATGAATGCAAGTTTGACCAGTTTAAAAATAATGAACATGACTGATAGGATCCCTGAGCTAATGCCATTTATTTTCTGCTGTGGCTTTCATCCCAATTTATATTTTTTGCAGCGCAATGAGTGAATCTACTTTGACCTCCTCTTCAAGTAGACTTTGCCCTTGAGGAGGTCTTATATGACGAAGCTGCCCTTTTTAGCTCTGTCACATTTATCTCTACCCTTCATTGCTCACCCTAAACTCTCTCTCTCTCTCTCTCGTGGTCCCCTACCAACTTGCAGTTGCATATATATATTTCAACCAGTATGTCTATTAGTACCCTGCAAAAATTCATGGTTACACTCGCAGAAACAGAGATTTTAGAAATTAGAGCAAGGTTCTCTTTTCGCACTTGATCTACTTGGCCTGTGTTTGTAGAGCTACATGGGAGATCATATCTCCATGTTTGCATGAAGAGAAAATGGTGAACAATCTTCTTTCACCCCCGCCGGTTGTTCACTCGGATGTCTTCACTCTGATCAACAAGGTAAGCCCAACCACATTGCTCATCATCATCATCGTGTCCATCATCTTCTTTGTCTCTGGTCTGCTTCACCTTCTCATAAGAATCCTCCTGAGACCTCCCCACAGAGAAGTTGAGGACACGGAGAGTGTGACCCCATTTCAAGGTCAGTTGCAGCAGCTCTTCCACCTCCATGACTGTGGGCTCGACCAGTCCATCATAGACAACCTCCCTGTGTTCCACTACAAGGCCATCATTGGGCTAAAGGTCGACCCTTTTGACTGTGCAGTGTGTCTCTGTGAGTTTGAGCCTGAGGACAAGCTCAGGCTCTTGCCCAAGTGCAGCCATGCCTTCCACCTGGAGTGCATAGACACTTGGCTCTTGTCTCACTCCACTTGCCCTCTGTGTCGAGATAGCCTGTGGCCTGATTTCACTCCAAACAACACCTGCTCTCAGCCCTTTTTGCTAGTTCTTGAATCTGGAAGTGAGAGCTCGAGAGAGATTGTTGCTGACAGAAGCTCTGACTTAGCCAGGACCAGTTTGGCATTGAGATCAGATTCTCATTTTAGTTTTGATGGAGAGACGAAATTTGGGTCGTCCCTTGTCGATTTATTGTGCAAGTCTCGCGAATTCGATGCGAGAGATGCTGCGATGCAGACCGAAATGGTGGATTCAGGGGAGAGGGTGGTGTCTATTAGGCTAGGGAAATTTAGGAATGTGGATGGTGGTGAATCTAGTAGTACTAGTGCTACCAATAACACTCTGGGTTCAAGAAGATGCTTCTCTATGGGGTCTCATGAGTATGTGACAGATGAATCTTCCACATTGCTAGTAGCAATCAGGACCCCATCAAAGAAGCAGCCGAGCAGGAAACCCGCATTGCCACTGAGACCTGGTCACCGCCAGGCAATGTCAGTGTGCAGTTGTGAATCAAGGAGAAACTTTGATGGCTTTGATGCGACAAAAAGTGGTGAATTTGTCTATAGTAGAACGGATACTGGTATTGGGAGGAGCAAAAGAGAGAGTTTTTCGATATCGAGAATCTGGGAGAGGGGAAAGAAGGAGAAGCCAAATTTGAGGGGAGAGACGTCGGCCCAGGCAGCTTCTCTTCAAATTCCAGATAACCGGGCCATCACGAGTGGAGAGGCCAAAGACAAGCTGAATGGAGACAATTGTGGTAGAGCTTGGATGGAACTCGAACTTGGTCGCTCGGAGAATTTAGGGAGCGAGTCCGGGTGTGATCAGGATAGCAAGAGGATAAGTTTGAATTCTCAAACAAATCTGCCTTCTTACACCAGGAGGACTCTGCTTTGGCTTGTTGGGCTCGGAGCGCCACAAAGCAAGGTTGTGCATGCATCTTCCTCACCCCAAGTCTAGTCCTTTCTTCAAATTTCAGAGACGAGATAAATTTCTTAGTGCAGTTCAACTCTCTTTTACTGGCAAGGTGGAAAACTCTAGCTGCTGCATTGAGATTATTCAGGGTTTCTCGAAACTTAATTTGCTCAATAGCCATAGTATCATTTCATGCCATGCTCATGTAATGTATCACATCCTTCAAGGAAATTGCAAAATCATCCAGATGTACTGTGTTCATCGAGCCTGAGTCAAGTAGATTTTGAAAGTCTTGATCTTGCCCCTTCCCTGTTGAATTACTAATTACGGCGTTTGCATGGATCACATTAGATGTCCGATTTACGTGAAAGACGTAATCAGACAGGAAATGTTATTGCGAGGATTTGAATGTGGAGAAGCCTACGCACCTAAATCAGGAAAACAGGAGAAAATTATTCACCTACTCAATGTATGAGGGTAGATTATTTCATTGCTAGGCCATGGAGTTAATGACCAATTGCCTGCAACTTTTTCTTCATCATTTAGAGCAGGAGACATGATATGAGCTGTTGGGGATGCGGCATTTAATGGAGTCATACCGACTCCGATTTGAGTTAGGTTGCTGGGACTGAGCCACTGGACATTAATGGCGGATGCTAATCATTTCACCTACAGGTGTCCGAGGGTACTCTGTGTGGCTGTTCTTGATATCATGTGATCGCTTGTAATAAGAAATACACTTCACTGCCCTTTTACTTTCCTGCATTTATTATCTTGATGCTGACTTCTTGTTAGTCGACAGACCATTCTAAAACGCAGCATTAAAATCACACGTACTTATTTTAATTCAAACCAGATCGGAGATTAAGCATCACTTTATTTAATTAGTCTTCGAAACCCGGCAAAGCCAAAATCATCAAAGCAGACATTACTTTCGTGATCGTCCCCGAACTTTATGTTTTTCCTTCAAGAAAAGGGTTTCCAGGTCTTTCCTAGGCATAGACCACCCAGACTTTGCCGGCGTCGAGGTTGGCGATCCTCGCGAAGGCATCGCGGGAGAGGTTGATGACCCCGTTGCACGGTTGCCGGCAGTAGTCCACGACTTTGACCGTGATGACACCGTCCTTGCAAGGGTGCGGTAATCTGTCGGGGGGTTTGGCGCTTCTGACCGTCGGCATCGGCCCGCAGGGCGTCCCGTTGTTCCACAATTCGTCCCTCACTCCCGGGATCATCACTCCGCTGTTCTTCATAGTGAAATTTGGACAAGCCGCGGCTGCCAAAAGGAACAAAAAGACAAAAGGACACAACATTTGAGAAGCCAGGTCACCTATTTTTCCAAGGGAAAGCAATTCTCAGAGAACCCTTTCACATTTCATAGACGAAAGATGTAAAAACATGAAATGGAGGGCCTAATTCCTTAAAAAATCCTTAACTTTAAGTCAAGTCTCAAATTTATTTCGAACTTTTTTTATCTCAGAAAAACCCCAAACTTTAGGTACAATCCCAAATCTGCCTCGAACTTTTTTTTTATCTTAGAAAAAACCCCAAACTTTAAGTCCAATCTCAAATCTATCCCGAATTTTGTTTTATGTAAAAAAAATCACAAAAATTCAATTTCTTTTAAAAAATATACCCCCATGATCCAGTTTCAACTTAACGAGGCACTTCCACGTGTTGACACCTGATTTTTGATCAATTTATTCAATTTTACATTAAAAAAATCACAAAATTAGGATAAGGAACCTTCGCCATGCTTAGAAACCTATTTCTAAAGAAAAAATAAATTTTTTAGATTTTTCGTGAATTTTTCCTTAATTTCTTTTGGCTAAAAAGGAAGAACAATCAAGAAAAATACTAAATGGAATTAAAAAATTCGAAAAAAAATATTAATTAGTCTTATTTTAATACCAATTTCAGCCCTGCAGTTTCAATTTTAGAAAATTTCAGTTAGGGATATGTTTTTCCCAAAATTGGGTAATTTCACACCCTAATTGAGCCAAAAAAATCCAATTAAGTTAGTTTTAGTCATTTTTAGGCTATGGTGTCTTCACAACAATTGATTCCGGGACCTTTAATTTCATATCGGTTGGCCCAATTTCACAATTTGATAAAGGAATTGAAAAGCCCCAAAATTAATTGAAAATTAGGGATTTTAAGACCCAAATTGGGGATCTTATTCAATTTGAAATTTTCGATTGAAACCTATACCTTCCATAGGGTTAATTGAACATGGGTAATTCAATTTTGGCCTCAATTTGGCTTAATTAAATCATTTGGACACTGAATTGAACAAAAGCCCAATTGATCCGAATCCAAATTTGGGAATTTTTGGTCTAATTGAAATAAAAACTCAAATTGATCTCACATTTCAAGGTAGAAAGTGTCAACGAATCGAAATTTGGGGTCAAAATCGTGAAATTGGGTCAAATTTGTAAAATTAGACCAACCCGGGTTTGCCGGGTCGGTCGGATTCGACCCGACCCAACCCAGGTCAGCCTTCTTCCTCACCCGACTGGGCACACGCGGGAAATGAAAAAAAATCTGTTCGACCCCGCCATTTCACCGACCTAAAACTACCCATTCCGGCACATGAAAAATGAGATGGACAACTGGTCCATCCTTATCCGTTCTAATCGATCGGCGAGTCAATTAGAGGTGATAACCGACTCGGGGAGGAGAAGAAAAAGGGGAAAAAATCAGCTATCACACACATAAGGCATTCGAGAAAATATCAGAAGAGAGAGAGAATGGAGAAAACTAGAGAGAGAAAGCAAGAGGGATAGGGTCAGAGGTCCTCAACCGAGCGTCCGGCGCCGCCCTAATCGGAGGAGCGCTAGCAAATCGACCCCTTGGCTGTGACCTTCCCTTCCCTATTCCGGTCAAATAGCTGATCGCAAAACCCTGAAAACAAGCTCCGATTGACCAACCGATGACTTTCCCAGCGAAGCTGATCGCTGTGGGTGATAGTACAAGTGCAAGAGAACTAAACTGAAGCGGCCTAGTGGTTTGAAAACTCCATTTCTGCCATCGTCAACGAAGGTATAAATCGTTCGCAATTGTACATTAATTGTTCAATAAAATGCTAAAGTCAATAATCGAGTTAAATCTTGGTTGATCTTGTGGTTTGTTTGTTGTATTGTTGATTACAAGTTCCACGCTTGCATTTCTAATAAGTTTTTGTTTGATTCTTGCATTTTGGATCATTGAACTTGCATTTTGCACCAAGTTGGTCTTGTATTTGCTTCGCCGGAACTTGCTAGCTCTCGCTGGAGTGCTTTCCAGCGGCCAATGGCCGTTCAAGTTAGTGTTTCTGATCCTATTTGATGTTCTGGTTGTTGTTTTGATCGCTAAAAATGGCTATGACGTTCCGTTTGATAATATGAATGTTAAAACATGTTAGGTTAGTTTAGTTTTAGGGGATGATTTCCAAGCTAAGTAGAGACGTTTGAGCTTGAAAATTGATGGCTTAGGGAGGTTCGATGACAATCTAATAAGTATGGATTTTTGAAGGATCATTTGGTGAAGGTTGAGGATCACATAGTATGATCGGAATGTGGACGGAAGGTCATCGGAGATTGGCCCAAAGTAGCTGCCACAAGAATGGAAAACTAAGACTAATGCCCATGAGATGTTTGTGAAAATGCTACAATGGAAAAAGCAAAACGGTGCCGTTTTGGGCATCGTTCTCGTCGGGGCATCGGCTGGTGCCGGCCAAGCCGGTTCGACTTGGTTGGACCGGCCTAAACCAGTTCTGTTCGGCTTGCTCTGGAATAAAAAAAATCCAAAAATTACAAAACTCATAAAAATTCATAAAAAAAATTAGAAAATTCATAAAAAAAATTAGAAAATTCTGAAAATTCATAAAAAAAATTAGAGAATTAAAAAAAATGAAAATTTAGCCTTCTGGGAAGTAAAAAAATCAAATAAAAATTTTCCCGAAAAGAAAAAAAATTCCAAAAATTGCAGAATGGCTCAAAATGCTTGTGGCCACCCCTTTTAAGTGAATTTGAATTTTTGGGAATGCACAAGTTGTATTTAAAAAAATCCCAAATTTAGGGTAAAAGGGGCTTAACCCCTAAAAAACCCTAAAAGGGGTCTAACCCCTAAAAAATCCTAAAAGGGTCTAACCCCTAAAGAACCCAAAAGAAAAACTCCCAAAATGAACAAGCCTTTAGGGCTTCATTAGGCATTGATTGTTTTGATTGATTTTTCTTTTAGAGACGATATTAGGACTGTTGATTGTGGTTTGAATTGATTGTGCTTTTAATAATTAATTGATTGCCTCCTTGTTTAGAATGGTTAGGATTAATGGATAGATCTCGAGAAATTGCATGACACGCTAGACACATCAAATCGAGTTAGGTACCGAAATGGCGTTAGAGATTTCGACATCGGGATCATTGACATAACCAAATCCCCTTACCCATGATATCTCTAGTTCTTAGAAATCAAGATGGTTCTCCCCCGTATTGATTAGGTTTCTAGTCAATCATTAAGGACTAGAACAAAACACATACTAAATAGACTTTATTAGAAAGAAATCAAATACCCGCTGTCTCGTGAGGTATGGTTAGGAGAGACCCTCATTCATCTAAAGATGGGATGTCTGTGAAACGTTTGGGCGAAATATCCGTTTTGGACCTTAGTAGCTTCGGGGACAGTTTCCTTATTCATGACAAACAAAAGTACCTCCAAAAGCGCATGAAGAGCGCGGCAAGACACCACGTCGATAACAAATTCACATTAACAAAGTAACGAGGCTTTTTTTTAGACAAAAAAGTTCAAAGCAAATTTGGACTGAACCTAAAAATTAGGTTTTTTTTTAAATTAAAAAAAAATTTGGGATGGATTTATTATCGTCCCGAACTTTCATATCCTATAATAGTTTTATTTTGGAGAATTTCAATAATTTTTATTGGGTTGGATTTGTTATTGAAGTGGAAATACGACGTTAGTCTGTACCTATCGCCTCATTACTTTGCTGATGTGGATTTTTTATCGACGTGGAAGTGCCACGTCAAGTTGGGACTGGATCACGTGGGTATATTTTTTAAAATAAATAGAAATTTGCTTTTTTTTACATAAAACAAAATCCGGGGTAGATTTGAGATTAAACGTAAAGTTTTGGGTTTTTGCTGAGACAAAAAAAGGTCGAGACAAATTTGGGACTAGATCTAAAATTTGGGATTTTTTTTTTAAACAGAAAAAAGTTCGGAGCAAATTTGAGATTTAACCTAAAGTTGAAGGTTTTTTAGGGAATTCACCCTGAAATGGAGACAAAACATTTGTATCAAACACACGGACGCCGACATTAATAACCTCTAATTAAGTTAGGTGACATCACAACACACTCACGGTAACATTTGGGATTGTAGTAAGCCGCGAGAACCTGCTTGGCAAAAGCAGCAGAGAATGGGGACAAAGCCATGGCCAACATCACAAACACCGGCAATTTCACCTCCATTGTTGTTACCTTGTTATGCCTAGGAACATCTTCAATCCCGAGTATGTACATACGGAGGATTTGATCCGCCGTGAAGATTGGGTGTAGTCAGTGGAAAAGACTTGGAAGTCAGTGAGTGAACTTCTTTGCTTGTTGTCACTTCTGGACTTTAATAAAGTGGCCACACTGTTAGGAATCAATTTCTCTTCAGTGCTATCGTCTTCGGGACTCGGTACTTCCACGGCGTCGGGCTCTTAAACACGGCCGGTCGTGACGAGAAGCGTGGTCCGTTGAATCGAGTAAAAGAAATGTCAGCCGTCGGATGGCGAGCATATGAGATGACCCCCCATGATATTTTCTTGCTAATCAGGATTGAACCGCATGAACATTTCCTTGCGAATCAGTATTGTTTCTAGTCAAATAAGCTATTTTTATACTTCGTGTGAAAATGTAAGAATCCAATATATTTTCCAACTTGACCTTCGAACCACGGAAAGTTGAATTTGGTTACAGTAAATTAGTGGGAAGTTCTACCATAAGGTGAAAAGAATTAATATGCATTCCCTTGTATAGCTAGCCTTATTGCAGGTCTCTCCCCGAACCCTGCAAAGCAAACCATATAACCATATAGATCAGGCATCATCAGTGGAGCAAATTACCAATAATACGAAATCTACAATTCTTTGAATCAATAACAGAAGCGATTCTCTCGGAGCGGTCCTCGTGGGGAATAGTCCACACGTGACTTTGCAGGCTCCCGTGTCGACGATCTGAGCGTCGAGAGAGAGGTTGAGGATCCTATTACACGGGACTTTGAAATAGACTTCGACTCAGATCAAACCGGCTCTGCAAGGGGCTGCACGTCATTTTCCTTTTTCCGGGGCGACCCATTGCACCGAGAAATTTTTCTTATAGACTTTCCTCACTCCAGTCACCATCACTCCACTACTCCAATATTCCCACCCCCCACACGCAGAGGCTGCAAATATCTATGAGACCAAGGTCATCATCTGATGGGAGATATAATCACGGGAAAGATGTAATACAAACGAGGCAATTTATCAGCTCATTATCTCTCAGAACAACCCTTAGATGAATCACAAAAACGCTTGTCAACTTAGTGAGGACTTCAACGAAAATACTCAGGGTAATAAGGAGGGTTATACAAAAGTGTGTTAGGTCCAAATAAGCAACTAAGAGAGGGAGTGAATTGATTTTTCAATAAAACACCAACTAATTTTGAAGAATCAATCTGGATAAATATACTGATTTCGTGCACTACGTGAACTAGCAATAAAAGCAGCAGTAATATAACGAGTTTAGGGAAAGAGAAATTACAAATTGGATTTATAGAGATCTGGCTTAGGTATGTCTACTTTTCTCTTCCAGCTCTAACAATCTAAAATAGGTTGAATTCCACTAGCTACGGCAAGGGTACGAATATCGCCTTGCTAGAAGTAGAATCTGCTGCTCCGCGGAACCTAACTTCTTTCTTAGAAATGCCGTTTCAGACTAAGTAACCATTGACCCCCAATAGTCGTTCTAACGCTTTCTACACAGCTCGGTAAATCCTCTCCCCAAACTATAACACACGCCTGTAAGTGTTTACAAAGAGTCTTTTGCACACTTTATTTCTCCCCTACACAAATGCCTTCGCACTAAGTACCACCACTTCTCTCGTGTTTTCACAAATAGGATTGTTACTCTCGCTAACTATTAGAACGAATGGAAATTACAAAAGAGACGGTCTCAAAAAACTCTCATGAATGCTCAATCCCTTCTCTATGCTATAGCTTCTGGCCGAGTTTTCTCAAAATTATAGAACTCCATATCAAATGTTGCACATAGATGATCGAGTTGTTATACCATCTAATTTTTTGTAAAAAAAATTCTCAACAAAATTCCATGAAAAACATGTGCAGAACTTTCCCCCGATTTAAGTTGTCGATAAGATTTTTATTAATGAGAAGTTATCTTTGACTGATGACTAGTTTGATCACACCATCTCACCAATCTTTTTGAGTGAATAAGTCCATAATTTTTGGCATAAATAATGTTGGAGTGTCATACTTTACAACTATGAATTGGGTATTCAATTTAGAAACTTCAACCATTGTCATATCTATATATAAAAAGTGTGATCCAGACTATATTGTAGAACCAAAATTCTGGTTGTATACCTTTCCTTTTGCAATTTACAGATCTAGTGAGATTTAACCCATATACTTGTGGAGTCGAACCCTAGCTTCTGCATACACTTAAATGAAGTTTTGGTGAATTTCACGTGGATCTCCGTTACAAAAAACTTGAGACTGATTTAAAGAGAAAATGTGAGAAACAACTACTAATATAATATAACCGACACTAGTATATACAAATTAGTTCATGAGAAGTGTAAGTAGCACCGCCTTAAAAAGCTAGAGTATTGTGGGATGATGACTAATGTTTATGGCATCACTAACACCAACTCAATCAAGCTCTCTTTATTTCCGGTACATACATTTTTACTAATCATCCTGTTAAGATGCATATGTGAGTTATGTTAGAAAAATCTCATATCGAAGAATTGGTGTAGTGTGCAGCAATTAATATATCCAAGTTGGCCCATAACTTATTGGCTTAAGCTTTTGAGTGAATATGAATCCAATTAGATATGTTGAGGGGTTCATACTTGAGCTCCCTCTTGGTGATCTCCTTGGGTAAAGGTATCGGGTTTCTGCTACGCGCTCCCAACAAATGTTGTCAGAATCGATGGTAGATTAGTGGGCCTCCCAATCAATTCCGGTGTTTGATGAATATCTTAATAAAGGAATCTGGTGACTAATGCAATTTCCAGGTAGGTGGGCAATGTGGTGTAACAACGCAGTCCCGATGGCAGCCTTCATGGTTCAGTTCGGAGAAAGACTTGGAAATTCAAGTTGAGATAAATTGATGCAGAATGATACCTAAATTAAAAAGGAACAAATTGTTGAAATGCCCGTGTAAGTTATGTTAAAGAAGTCTCACATCGGAGAACTGGAGCGATGTGGAGCAGTTAATATATCCAGGTTGGTCAATAACTCATTGGCTTAAGCTTTTGAGTGAAAGTTAATCAAACTGGAAATATTGACAAGCTCGAACTTGGGCTCCCTCTTGAAGATTTCTCTGAGTGAAAGTATTGACCTTCTATTATGCGCTCCCAACACATCCTACATGTAGTAGACAAATAATATCTCATTGGATTGTGTTACCATGTACTATTGACATAATATACCTTATACAAAAGTTCTAAACATAACAAAGTTTTTCCACCCCAATGAAGCCATGCTTCGATCGCTTAAGTACTTTCCAAAAGGAGAGTCTATGGATTTAACTTTATAACCCCGTCACTAATTGTCCATATAGTGCGTGAACATATGCAAAGCAAATGACTATCCGCAATCCCTCAACACGTCTCCTTTTGATACTAAAAGCAGTCATCATATTCTTCATTTGTATATCTCAAATTTCAGTACGATGAGATTTACTTATGTGAAGACGGACGACTGACTGTCCGCTATCCCTCGATATTCCAATTTTTATAGTAATAACTGTTGCGATCTCATCTCATGGTGCACCTCTTAGTAGGATGCGCAACGGGAACCACCCGAACCGGGAATCGCCCGTACCGGCCAATTCTGGGCGATTCCAGAGGCCACCAGTCCGGTTTCCATTTCAGGGTGAGAATCGGACTGGACCAGTTACATTTTTTTTAATTTCTTAAAGAATAGCCTAAAGTAAATTCTAATATGAGTAATCTCTATTCTTCAAACTCTTCTTTCTCATCTGACCATGTCGTTCACGGTGTTAAACTTTGCAATTGTTCTATTTACGTGAAAGACCGTAGTTAGGCAGGAAATGTTATTGCAGGGATTTGAATGTGGAAAAGTTCTAGGCACCTAAATCAGAAAAACAGAGGAAAATTATTAACCTTACTTAATGTATGAGGGTAGATTATTTCATTGTTAGGCCATGGAGTTAATGACCAATTGCCTGCAACTTTTTCTTCATCCTTCAGAGCAAGAGACGAGAAATGAGCTGTTGGAGATGCGGCGTTTAATGAAGTCACACCGTTTCCGATTTGAAATAGGTTGCTGGACTGAGCTACTGGACACTAATGGCGGATGCTAATCGTTTCACCTACAAGTGTCCGAGAGTGTTTTGTGTGGCTGTTCTTGATATCATGTGATCGCTTGTAACGAGAAATACACTTCACTGCCCTTCCACTTTCCTGCATTTATTATCTAGATGCTGACTTCTTGTTTGTCAAAAGACCATTCCAAAACGCAGCATTAATATCACAAATACATAGTTTTATTCAAACCAGATCGGAGATTAAGCATCTCGTTATTTAAGTAGTCTTCAAACCCGGCAAAGCCAAAATCATATAAAGCAGACATTATTTTGATGATCTTCCCCGAACGGTATGTTTTTTACTTCAAGAAAAGGGTTTCGAGGTCCTTCCTAGGAATAGTCCACCCAGACTTTGCCGGCGTCGAGGATGGCGATCTTCTCGAAGGCATCGCGTGAGAGGTTGATGACCCCGTTGCACGGTTGCCGGCAGTAGTCCACAACTTTGACCTTGATGACACCGGTCTTGCAAGGGTGCGGGTATAGGTTGGCGGGTTTGGCGCATCTGACCGTCAGCATCCGCCCGCAGGCCCTCCCGTTGTCCCACAATTCGTCCCTCACTCCCGCGATCATCACTCCGCTGTTCTGCATATTGAACCCTGCACAAGCCGCGGCTGCCAAAAAGAACAAAAAGCCAGAAGGACACAACATTTGAGAAGCTATGTCACCTATTTTTCCAACGGAATTGGAAGAAGAAATGCAATTCTCAGAGAACCCTTTCACATTTCATAGATGAAAGATGTAAAAACATGAAAGGGAGACAAAACAACGGTATCAAACATACGGGCATGGACATTGATAACCTCTAATTAAGTTAGGTGACATCACGAGACTCACGATAATATTGGGGATCGTGATAAACCGCGAGGACCTGTGCGGCAGAAGCAATAGAGAATAGGGACAAAGCCATGGCCAACATCACCAACACCGGCAATTTCACCTCCATTGTTGCTTCCTAGTTATGGCTTGGGGCATCTTCAATCCCTGAGTGTATATATAAACGCAGGATTTGATTCCAATGAAGACCGGGTGGGGTCACTGTGTGTATTAGTCATTTTTCTTCATAGAGGAAGACTTGGAAGTCAGTGGGTCAACGCTCTTTTGGACTATATTAAAGTGGCCACGATGTTAGAAATCAATTGGAAAACAATTGCGTAATCGTACCGTTATCTTGGAAAATGGACAGTCAATCCTCCTTAGCCATACATTTTCCTGCCTTTGTATTGGAGATAGGGAAAATTTTGTAGCCGGCGGACAATCATGCTAGCAGCTCTAAAGTCAATTTCCGTTCAGTCCCGTCCACGTCAGGACTTAGGTGGCTTCTACGGCGTTGTGCTCTTCTACCCGATCTGACGAGAGTCGGGGCCGTCGGATTGAGTTCAGGGAATTGTCAGCCGTAGGATGGTGAGCATATGAGGCGACACCGCATGATATTTTTCTTGCGAATCAAGATTGAACAGTATGAACGAACACTTCCTTGTCAGTCGGGGTTATTAATTGTCAAGATTATAAACGTGGAAATTTTCTGTCGAGGAAATATCGCACCGGTTTCGTTCAGTCAAATAAGCTATCCTATCACTGTTCTTCATTTGAATATGTATGAATCGATTGTATTCTCCATCTTGACATTCGAACCATGGAAAGTTGAATGTGGTTACAGTACGTGAATTAGTGGAAACTTCTACTATAAGGTGAAAACTAAGACAATATCTCTTGTTCTTGTCATTCTTTATTCTACAACTTCTGGCCAGTTTTCTCCAATTTATAGAACTTCAAGTTCAAACGAGGAAGCTGGAGACAGAAAAAAAAAAAAACAAGGAAATATGGAGAAAATATTGCAAAAAGAACTAGAAATACTAATACTCTTGCATAGCCAATTAAGACCCAACAAATTTTACATCATGACAGTTCAATTTGACTCAATTTGACTATATCCTACGATTTGATTTCTCAATTTAATACTTTCATTCAATCAATTTTTGAGAAAAAAGTTAGACAATGGTTCACTTTTACACCCATGATATTCAAGTCGTTTCTTTTCGCAACCAAGAACCACACGTGACAATGAATTTTTCAGTGGTACATCTCCGATGTATTTTTAGCGTTGGCGTTTGTTTGGTTAGAATGAATATTCGAAAAGTGAAACGAACCTATGGTGAACTTCATGTGGATCTCCAACACAAAAAACTTGAGATTGATTTCAAAAGAAAATTTTTTGAGACGAGTGAGAAAGCGCTACATATAATATAAGTGACATCGGTATATACATAATTTGGGCACAACCTTAAAAGGCCAATGTATTATGTGACGGTGACCGATGTATATCCAAATGTACGGTAGGCGCTCTTAGTAAAAGCCATCACCATCTCCACCCCCGTACCCAATCTAATGTTACTTCCTCTACTCAGCTGGTTCATTTTAATGTTTGGGGTCTGCCCCCTATTACCTCCACAGGTTTCACTTTGATACTAGAAGCGGTCATCATATTCTACATTTGTATTACTTGTATTTCAATTTATGTAAAAGACAGACAAATGACTATACATAATCCCTCAATATTCCGATACTTTTTCAAACTATTATCTCATGCATGCACTTACAAAAGATGATGTTAGGTATACGAAGACGACATAAAGTTACAGTTAGTGAAACCTTTATACTATCTTCCCCTTCTTAAAGGAAATGAAAAATACAAGTTGAAATGAAGCTAAAGCTGTACATAATCGCCAAAATCAACGTTCTAATGAAGTTTAGGGCCCATAGCGACTGACCACGAAAGTAGAAGCCTTGCATTCATCTTGATCTGCAAATACAGGATAAATAAAACCATGAAGATTGAAGTTGAAGATAGGTTCTTCAGCCAACCAAACTATATAAATTGATTTCGACCAAAACAAAACTGTATAAATTGATAAATTTTTATTTTTGGAGAAGCAAGTAGGTGATAAAGATAAAGGAAGCCAAAGGTTGGACGATGCTGACCCATGGGGCATGAGATAGAGAAGTCAAAGACGGTGTGCTCCCTGCTCCGCCCATTGTTTTTCTATGATTAGACTTCTTGACTTCCCAAAGTTAGTGAACTGATAACAGGGAAACTTAATCATATGATTCAACATTAAACTTCACGAAACAATAGCTAGTGAGTGTCACACTTATTTGATTAGACATCTGCACCTCAATTTGGTGGTGATCAATCGATGATAAGGAGGCGATTTAAATTTCCAAATGCTAGATATAGATCACTCAAGATATGATGGTCTAGTGTAGCAATGATTGAGGCCATTGTGTTAACAGTATAAAACTGCAAAAGAGTGTTCCATTTTCACCGTTCGTGTCTCACGACGCATCTCCAATATAGTATATGTTTTTCGCACCCGTGATATTACCAAAGAAATTTCGCATTCTCCAAAAATATTAAATGTCCCCGCATTATGAAGCTAGTTACATGAAAGAAACTTTGACTCCCGAACGCTTGAGATTCTGCATATTGTTGCGGATCGAAGCGAATTTCATATTTGGAATTTGCGCGTTGTTTTAGCTAATGAATAAGGATTAAGAAAGACTTTGATAATGCAATGATGGGATGAGGAACTACCACCACCTAATGGCTTTGAATATCGTTGAAGGAATAGAACTTTCGAAATAATTTGTCAACATAAAGAATGTTAAGCACAAAAGATTAAAGTAGCGTAGATCTGCTCACAACAAAGCATAAAGTATGTGAAGCACAATTCATTCCTTCTTCCTTGGAACAGATGCCCTTTTCTACGGCACTTACAAAATAATTGGCACTTAAGGGAAAAAAAACTAAATCTACCAAAATAGAATACATCAAAACTAGCAAAAGATTAAAATCACGTTGGACATGTTTCCCTGATCAAACACTCGGAACAAACTGTACTGAGGTAGTACAAAGGACATATTTCTGATTTGAAGAACTTTATCGATTCTTAAATTGAGGGAGCGAGATTGATAATTTTCACATAAAATCTTTTCGAAAGTATAGTGAAATTGAATGACTTCCATGAAAATCTCAATAAGCATTTCTTTATAGGAAACGACGCTGCTCTAGACCTATCAAAATAGGTCATAAATTCATTTCTTAATCAATATTTGATGATTTAGGTGGTTATATAAATTAGTTATATTCAGTATATGGATCATAAATAGGTTTAGAATGATAATATCCAAAAAAAAAATGAGTGTTAAATGAGTCCGCAATTTACTTAGACCCAACCTGCTTTAATGACTCTCTCTCGCCCTCACTTGATTTTGTGCTCGCTCACTTCATACTCTCATCTCAATTTGGATATGAGTTATCCTAGATTTAATTAAATATGGAAGTATTTTTCAAACAAAAAAATGAGATAACAACACAAATTGTCCCTAAACTATGATCCAATGTGCAATGTGATCCCTCAACTTTTAACTTGTTCAATGTCCATATGTTTAATGTAGTCTCTAAACTATAGGAAATTGTTTAATGTTGTCCTTTGATTAATTCAAATTCAGCAACAACATTGAAGATTTTCATATAGTTCAAAGACTAAATTGAATATGTACCAAAACATCAGGGACCACGTTAAGTAAATTAAAAATTCAAGAACCACATTGTACATTGGGCAGAAGTTCATGGACCGTTCATATCATTTTTTCAAAAGAAAATACGAAAGCATTTTAATAATATGAGTCGGGTGTGAATTAATATATTTTTATTATATGAAAATTGATCAAAACAGGCTAAATAAACCAATTTGAATCGAAATATTTTCGACCCGATCCACGGTTTTGATGGGTCTACACTAGACATGGCCACGGGCCGGTTTCGGCCCAGGTCAAACCGGGGACCGGCCTGTTGACTGGGCCCGCGGTTCGGAACCAGCCCGGAACCGCTGGTTCCGGGCCTGGTTCCAAAAAAAAAAAAACTGCAGCAGGGCCTGCAAACGAAAAAAAAATACTGCAGTTGGGCCTACTGCCTGCAGACATGCAAGACCTGTTGTGTTTTGTTTTTTACCGGCCGGTTCTGAACCGGCCCAGAACCAGAACCGGCCCGGAACCGCCGATTCCGATTCATACATAGCCACGAACCGGAACCTCCGATTATGAATCAAAATCGACCGGTTCCAAACCGTGGACATGTCTCTACACCGCTCAAGATGGTTTGCGCCTACTGCGAAAGCCGCAAAACGCATCCTCATCTAAACCGACAGGCCTGCGGTCCTCCACCCGTCAGATCAATCCAACGATGTTCTTTTAACGCCAGACCCATATAAATCTCATTTCTTTATTCTCTCATTTTTAGAAATTGGAAAATTGGAAAATAAAAACCACCTCTCTCTCTCTTTCTCTCTCTCTCTCTCTCCCGTGTTCGCAAAAAAAATATCTCCTTTATCGAACCTGCAACTTCTCTCTCTCTCTACCTTACCTCTCCATCCTTTCGGCCCCATTCCTCACATGCCTCCCCCCCGTCACGACGCCCTCCACGGCGGCGAGCCCGCCGCCCACGGCCACCGCGACGGCGATGCCTCCCCGCCGGGGCCGCCGCCGCCGCCGAAGCAGAACCCGAAGCTGCTCTCCCTCCTCCTCATAATAGGAAATCTACAATTCTTTGAATCAATAACAGAAGCGATTCTCTCGGAGCGGTCCTCATGGGGAATAGTCCACACGTGACTTTGCAAGCTCCCGTGTCAACGATCTGAGCGTCGAGAGAGAGGTTGAGGATCCTGTTACGCGGGACTTTGAAATAGACTTCGACTCGGACTCGGACGAAACCGGCTCTGCAAGGGGTCTGCACGTCATTCTCCAGGGCGACCCATTGCACCGAGAAATTTTTCTTATAGACTTAAGCCATTGTCCCACAATTCATTCCTCACTCCAGCCACCATCACTCCACTACTCCAATATCCCCACCCCCCACACGCAGAGGCCGTAAATATCTGTGAGACCAAGGTCATCATCTGATAGGAGATATAATCATGGAAAAGATGTAATACAAACT